GCAAAGTTTAGGTTATTGATGAATCAATGAAAATCACACACACACAAAACGGCCCTTATCAGGGCCAGGAATGCTAGACAGACAACCTCCACGTGGTGCATTGTAGATAACGCGAATAGTCTGCGCTTTTCGGCCATGCAACCTCCAACGCTTTGATGAACTTGGATCGCTATGGGTAAAAAATGGTTACACACACACAAACACATACACACACCCTTTTCGGGAAAAGCTCAAATAGTCTACATTGGTTAGAAATGCGTGATTAGGCACACTGAACGTAAAGAGGTTTTTTTCGATTTTCATATTCAAAACGGCGTTTGCACCAATTTTCGTTATGGTATTCGTGATTAGGAGGTCAAAATACATAAGTATACCAAATTTCAGATCGATCGGCGGTATGCGCTTTTCGGAAGTACACCCATGGTATGGTTTTTGACATCTCTTAACTATATAAAATAGAGATAAGCACAACATTGTATAACACGAACTCAAAGACTCATAATAATAGATCGTCAAGGAAAAAATTAACTTACCAACTAATACAAATATAAACCAAATTCGTACAAATTGTTTCCCTAACTAAATACTATCCGTAGTTGACGCGAGTAGTACACATTTAAATAAAACACTTTTACGGTTTCAAACGCGATGTATATTAGTTAAATTTATTTGAACTAATTTTCGTAAATTTCGTCACGTTACCACATTTTGTAATAAATTTAACTAAAATATATCGTCTTTAAAACCGTTTTTTCACTTCTTACTATTTTTTAATACATGCATGACTATTGTCCTCTATAGAACATCTCTGTAGCTAAAAGGATAACGTCGCGTTAAGCGCAAGAGGTTCAAATAATGTGTTCAAATACCGGGGAACAATATTAAGAAAAATAAAACACTTTCATTAGTAAGTATTAAGTGGAAACTTCCAATTTTCTCAGAATATAATTTTTCTAATTATATATTAACATTAAACAATAGTCTGATTAACTACTTGTCTGTAAAACAACCGATTAGTGAAACAGGCACATGTCTGTGTTTGTCCCATGCCCTGCCATGTGTCTGTTTGACTAATCGGTTGTTTTACAGACAAGTAGTTGATCAGACTTTTATACCCTACTTCATAACATTAAACAATAGTCTGATCAACTACTTGTCTGTAAAACAACCGATTAGTGAAACAGACACATGGCGGGGCATGGGACAAACACAGACTAGTTGATCAGACTTCTATACTCTACTTCATAAAAATAATCTATAGTTTCCCCAGGGCCCAGGATTCGAACCCGCGCGCGCTTAACGCTATGCTAGGCAACACGTTTAGCCGTTTAGCTACAGAGACTGTCGAAACACCTACATCAGTAATTATTTAGAAAAATGATATTAAAGAATAACTTATAGCACGCGCAGGCAAAAAATATCGAGTAGGTAGCAACGTGACTAAAAAATCGTTGACAGAACGGTTGTTACGCGACTACCAAGAAATTAATGTCCATTATGAGAATTCGTGGCAAAGTCACGGCTAGTGACGTCACTGTGCTGCCATCGTTCTTCAAATTACTGCCCAATACAGGTGATTAGCTATGGAGTGTGCAAATCGCTATCACATTTGTTACACATTTGAGCCAGGTACTGTATCGAAACAATTTATATTTTCCCTGGCTTCGAATTCAGGGTCTCCGGAACCTAATGCAACATTCTTACTTACTAATCCATAGAGACGGTCTGGTGGATTTTTTATTTAGTTTTATATACATTTTACTACTGCTGCTAAAAATATATCGTATATATTTAGTGTTTAGGGTTTTGCCTAACCTGGACTTGGAATTGAAAAGTCTGTTCTAAATAAACAATTTTATGTAAAGATAATTTGTTAACTTTACCTAGGCGTTTGTTTCCCGAACCTCATACTATGAAAATTTTTACCCAATTTCGGCAAAAATCAAAGCAGCTGGCAACACAATTCCGGCGACGAACTGTCTGCTGTTACAGAGTGAAACACCCTCAACAATTATCGCAAGAAAAACAAGGACAAAATATAAGCGATTGCTTTATATGGCGATCTTTTGTCTCTCTCTGTCGTTCAAGTTAGAAAGAAATGGAGGTGTTGTCCTTCAACGCGAGCGTTTTAAAATTATAAGCATGTACAGTTTATTCATTTCATATGAATGAGATCATTGTTAGAAATAGTTTGTCATTAAATAAAATATCAAGGTATAGTTTTTAATTACTTCACGAGTATTAAATATGTGCATAAAAAATAAAATAACTTATTTTAATTATTAGGTTATATGTATTATGTTTTAATAAACCACTATAACGGTTTAAAACGCGATCCATTTCCTCGTCTCCCCGTGACACAGCTGCAAAGCATCCGAAACGTCGGGCCGTAGTTAAAGATAATTTTCAAATAAATTTAACTAATATACGTAAATCGTTAAAGTGTTTTATTTAAACATAATACATATAACCTAATCAGATGCGCTGTCGGCCTATGTTTTCTAAAATTTCCATTTATATTTTTTTTATTTCTTTATGGTGGTTTGTTTGGATAGAGTTAAGATGTTCATACTAAGTTTAATACTAATATACATTAATTGATGGGAATTCTACTTGTTATAAAATAGCCATTGAAACACCATTGGACCCACAAACTTGTCAAAATCTCGAAATACAGTCACTTTGTGTTTTTCATATTATAATTATTCTTATCAATAATCTAAATAAATCTCTATCATTACTGATAACAGGTACACATGACAATGTTCTTCGCACTTAAACATCTAAATTTCGATTTATAATTTTAATCTATATATTTCGTCTGGAAATCTGGATATTAAACTGGGGTGGTTCGGCAACTCGAAATTCCATTCGGGTTAACCGTTCACTGATGAAAGCTGTCAAATTTTATCGCGTTTCGGTTTCAGTCTGTGGATTTCCGAATATCCAAAGGTTAATAGGCCGACAGCGCTACCTGTTTATTTGTTATATGGCTGGGGTATTTCATTTACCATCAAGTGATGAATGAAGATTATTAAGCATACATTGCTACCGACAGCCCGTCAAAAAAAATACTAACAATTCTGCAAAAACTACTAACATTCCAATTTTTTATTACCCAGTTGCAAGTACTTTTAAAAACTATTTGATTTGTTCACGTTACGTTGTCACTGTCATTTTTTCTCCACCTGTAACCGAGTCCATAGTAACGTACGGTCACATTGCTTATCATTGAGACGTGCCTACTTTTGTTGTTACCAAAATAGCAGCGACATAAAAACTGTCGTTCATAATTTATCCAAAAAATGTCATTTATAATCAGTAGAACGTATCAAATCTATACTCGCATAAACTCTATGTAAAGTGGGGGGGGGGGGGTTGTGGCACTAGGGCGAAGGCCCAGTGTGTCAAATTATCATCACCTAAGCCCCATTCTCTTAAACTGTGCTATGTTTTGTGTCATTTTCTTCCCATATTCATATTTCATTTTTTTTTTGCATTTTGAACCGTTAAATGTGTTTTATTGTGTGTTTTTTTTTGATCTTGCAACCTCTTCATTCCTAATTTTCCCTACTAGTTAATGCAATAACTAAAAAACATTTGAGCACTTTTCAACCACCCCGTGTCGCAACAGCAAGGTTTCGTCGAGGCTCTTATCACTGACCTTGCTCATATCAGCCTCCACTTGTTGTGAAGGAGTTTCCTTTTACGGCATTAATGAAGTGTCACATGGCTGCGCAGGCGTCACAGCGCGCTGTAAATGACTAATCTCGTGCAATTTATCTATACTAATATATAAAGCTGAAGATTTTGTTTGTTTGTTTGAACGCGCTAATCTCAGAAACTTGTTTTGGTTAGAGCATTTAACCAGGCTATCGAAATATGTATGATTGCTCTCATATGATGCCTATCGTTTAAAATTAATTTGCAAGAACCATTGAAAGGGACGCGACCGACGTCATGGGTAACAGCTTAAGTTCATAAAAATGAAGGGGTTTGCAAAAACGAATTCGGATGCCCAAAATAACGATTCTAGCGGACAAAGTCGCTGACACAGCTAGTACATATAAAGCTGAAGAGTTTGTTTGTATACTAGAAGGCGCTAATCTCAGGAACTACTTCGTTCGAATTGAATTGAAAATTATTTTTGTCTTAGTTAGAGCATTTAACGAGGCTATAGGCTAACGAAGAAAACGATGGAAATGTGGAAAAAAAACAGTGGAAATTATGATTAAGATAACCTTGCAAGAACGACGGGATCCGAACGACGACCGATGTGAGGTGAATGTAGCGTGAATTCGGTGCCCGGAAGGAATTTCCATATTCTTTCCATCCATCCTACTAATATTACAAACGTGAAAGTTTGTATGTGTGGATGGATGTTTGTTACTCTTTCACACAAAAACTACTGAATGGACTTCAATTAAACTTTCCAATAATATAGCTACGTGAGAATAACACACAGGCTACAATTTATAAAGATATTGTGTGAGCTGTCCAAAATATGGCATTAAGTGTCAAGTAATTAGGAAAAAACCTACCTTTCTGCGAGCTACTCTGGCGTGCGCTGCCATAAACATTAATTACACATATTTATGTCATAATGTTAGTTCTTTTCTACGCCACGCTAATATAACCTATTCCAAATACTAATCCTGTGTAGACGAAGTCGCGGGCATCAGCTAGTTTAACATAATGGCATACATTTTATTTTAGTATCTGAGGACCTTTTATTCCGGACCACACAACTGAGCCACGGAGGCCACTGTGAAACATATTGAGTGATAGGCGAATATTTTGCATTTGGTGCATCGAGTGGGTGGGTGCTGGGCCGGCTTTCCCGGGACGTTGCTCAGTCGGCCGGGTGCAGCGAATGGCGGGACCCGCATTATCGTAATGTATGACGTGACACGTAGAGTCACGCGGCGCAGTGACGCCGAGTTACGTGACGAATAGAGGCGAGACTCGCTCGGCAAATCAACAAGTAGCCGTGCTTTAGGATGGTGAACACGAGTTGCGCGGTCTTCCAGTGCACCTCTTCGTCCCACAGACACAAGGGTCTGCGTTTCCACCAGTTCCCGCGGGACGAAAGGTTAGAGAAATATTGGTACATATATGTTAATTTAAAATCGATTATAATAAAAAAAATACGACACGGGCAGATTTTTTTTTTAAATTATAATCGATTTTTAATTTATATAGTGCCATCATGTAAATATTAAAGTTTTCAACGGTTATATGTGTTTTATTTATTTAAGGTTCACATTTTAAATGTAAAATGCTAAGTATTGATTTTTATACAAACATTTTGGTTGACTTGATGGAAGGTGATTTACACTAGCCATATAACATCTGAACAAGATGTGTCGTCGAACTATTGTTGTATGTAGTTATATAAAATAAGTATGTTGGTACAACATACTTTTAACGATAACACTTTTAATTATATAATTTACTTATTTTATCCACGTCGAAAGAGATGGTGCTACTGTAGACTTTGACAATACGGTCCATCTTCAGTCTTCCCTTGACCATCGATGAAGCAAAGCATTCGAAATGTCGGGTGTAGTTAAAATATGTTAACATAATATATTTCACGTTTTAAACCCTTAAAAAATGTTTATTAATGTGTACTAATCGAGTTAACTACAGATAATACTTAACAATACCAATAATAAAAATAGATAACTAGTAAATTCAAATTTTCTGTCATGTTCCTTTGTTTCTCTATTCTTCGTAATCAAAGAACGTAAATAGACTAATGTCTACAGCAGCTGTTCGGCTGTGCGTATTTGTATGTACCCTTTGGAAGACCTAGATTCAGCTGAGTCTCAACCCCAAGACACCAGAAACATTTTAGTTTTAAGACTTAAACATAAAATTAACTTTTCCAGCATTCAACAATTTATTTTAACAATGTTAATTAACGGCCGATTTCCCCATATTTTCCAGAACCCCCATATGGGTGAAGGCGTGCAAACGTCCAGATCTCCTCGGCAAGGACATAGACCAGCTGAAAAACATGCATGTATGTAGTTTGCACTTCGAGCATCGGATGTACGGAAAACTGCTGCTGAAAAAGTCCGCGGTGCCAACCCTGAATTTGCCAGCCCTCGCCACCAGGACTGTCTCCACGCAGACCGACAACCCCGACGCCCATATGGCTCTGCATATCCTCACGAGCCAAGGTGTGCAGACAAACGAATCCTTCTTTGAGAAACCTCCAGATCTTGGGGTCTCTGTGGAACAGTTTTTGAAGGCTTGCGACGTTTATCTGCCGAGCGCTTTGGTAGCGTTTGTTAAAGGTCACATTTATTTCGACCGAAGCCAGAATTAACTGGTTTAACAGTTGATTGTTTAATTATAATCAATTATCAACAAATATCGTACAGGATAAAGAAAGATGAAAGAAACAAAGAACAAACGTATTTGCAGGAACACAACTTTGATTTTGCTGCACAAAGAAGTAGTCGAGGACAGACAATTAGATAGAGCAGGGGCCCCAATACAAAAATGTTTCTCACATTTATGTATCGGGGCCGCGTCAATTTTGAAACTTCTGTGGCAGACAAAATTTGTATGTTTCTAAGAATTCAAATTCAAATTTCTACTTTACGAACGTCGGCGGACACATTTTAATTTCCGTTTCACGGATCGGTTTAATTTACACACGATAAGTTGATCAGACTTCTGTGTCCCGCCACAACGAAACAATAATCACACGATTAATTATTTATCTAAGGAGGCGGTCAGATTACCAAAATAATACTTTTTTGTGTAGTTGTATAAATAGTTTTATAAGTCAATAAATTTTGCGATGTGCAGTAGGTTGCTCACTCCTGACATGTAATATTGATATGTAATTATTATTACAGATGTTTAAAACTAATGAATAAAAGCAAAAATGTACCTACAAACAACTAAATTTCATGAATAATAAATTATAGTCACGACTTCCTTCTGAAATTCTCCCGCTCGAAATATTGTATGTAATGTCTGTGAAGTGTCTGAAACGATACTAAAATCATAACTTTCACATTTAATGAAAACACTTATAACGGTTTAAAACGCGAAATCTATCCATTCCATTATTTCCAAATTTTCCACATTATTTCGAATAAATAACTAATATGTTTCACGTTTTAAACAGTTAAAAGTGTTTTATTTAACTGAGTACTCGCATTAACTACATACGGTACACCATTTTCACATGTTATTGCACATGATAGCTTTTCAGGTACTCAATTCGTAAGTGTTGACTGAAATTTCGAAGCGGTCGCGGGTCGGGACTAGGACCCGTGTCATTGATTTATGCTAAGACAGGAATAAGTATTATTGTAATTATCATTCTTATCTTATTGATAAGGAACCTAGAGTATCGGATAAAGATAAAATTTATATATGCATGACAAAAATCCAGTTGCCCCCTTTTGTCCCACATTAATGGGGCATGGGACACACAACTTTAACAGTTTGTCTGATCATTTTTATTTACAAGTCTGATCAGAGGTCTGAGCCCTGTGCGCTCGAAAATATTAATTCTGTTTTCGATTCGATAAAGATTTTTTAAGCATTGAGATAATATTGTTGTATTGATATTATTGTGTATAATTTTTGTTACGTTTTAAAGAATTTACGAACTTAATTGAGTTGTGGAGTTATATATGTATACTTACATAAATGTGTGGTAATATATGCTTTTTAATTTTATTATTAAATATATGTGATCCCAATAAATTGTGTAAAGCTTTCATGGCTATCGTTCAGCATATCATTGTTTTTCGGGCTGTTCGGCCGAGAGCGAGAAGAGATTAATTTTTCGAGCGATCGAGGAGTTAACATCTGATGATGCCGTCCGCACGTGATGGCGAAACGTCGAGAACCTCTTCTCGCTCACGTCGGCCGAACAGCCCAAACAATGGCTATATGTGATCCTAGTGGTATTAAAATATTATTCATTTTTAATGAGAAACAAAAATGTAAAATCTAGATTTAAAAAATTACTGAATCTAGAACTACAGTACAGTGTTTAATGTAATTAAGCATTTTTTAAATTTTATTTTGACTAAAAGTAAGCTGATATATATGGATAGGCACAAAGGGTTTAAAGACGGGCACTAAGGTTACATTAACATTAGCTTAATAAATAAATGAATCGCCATTTCGATCCCCACCGGGTTCATTATGTTTATAATCAATTTATAATTTCTGAAACACATTAGGCTTCATCTAAAAAACAAGGTGGTAGCAAAATTTAAATTCCGTCTAAATCACGAACCACGAGATGATGAAGATGAAAAGCCCGTGAAGTTTAATCGCGATTCGGTTTCAGTCAGTGATTTTCAAATTTTCAAAGTCGAAATAGGCTGACAGCGCATCTTTCTAAGATGTGATTTAGCTGATTTACCTACCATCAAGAGAACCGCATGCTTGTCTGCCTTTAATAAATCGTAAATTTATTAACTAATATAATCTCTTATAAAAACCTGAAGAATGATATCAGTTCTTAAACTTATGTATTTCCTTTACTCTTCACTGACAGCCACATTAATTCAAGTTCAAGGTTCCAAGCAAATTGTGGAACTTTTTCGCAATTAAAAGCTCAAACCAGGTCAGACCAATCTCAACTCTGTTGTTAGGTGTTAGAGTTGAAAGTTGCAAGAGGTACTAACAATTTCGCCGTCCGTGACACAATGTAACAAAAACCTGACAAGTCAAGGTTTGCTGATCGTAGAAAAAGCGCATAGCAACACGAGCGGAGAATTCAGAATAGCGATAAATATTATTTAGAAATTAGTAAGTACATCAAGACGTCGGCCGTGAAACATACCAAAATAGTAATTGTCAAGTAATTTTAATTGAGGACAGAATTTGGATAGAGAACGGCCTCAAAATATCAACCCTGGGATCCCGTATGAGAAATTGGGATCTAGCCCAAAAAACAAGTATTGTTGGTGTAATGGTTGCAAAGTACGGCTAATAATCTGCAGCAGTCGTGGTCATGGCTGAAATTGGAGGGTGACAGCTTAGTTAATATATTTTGCATTTTAAACCGTTAAAAGTATTTTATAAAAATTTATATTATTATGTATTAAATTGTTTCTCACTTCCGTTGCTATTTCCAATAACTTTAACGGCCTAAAATGCAATTTTAATTTGTTAAAAATATTTTAACTACGGGGCGATGTTTCGGATGCTTTGCAGCAGCCGTGGTCACGGGGAGTCTAAAGATGGAGGGTGTCTCTGACGTCAAAGTAAAAGAATTAGTAATAACAAAGTAAAAGTATTTGGCACGGAACAGGTGGCGCTAGAGTAGCAGTTTATTCAAATAAGTTTAACTAATATATATCGCGTTTTAAATAAGTTTTAATACTTGCGTAAACTACAGTAGATAGTATTTAGTGTGTATTAATTTTTTGTCACTATGTTGAGCAAAGGGCGGACACAATTCTGTGTCAAGGACTTTTATGACTGGATGAAATGTATAAAAGTATATTTTAATTTCAAATTTAAAATCTCTCCTATAATAGAATGCGACCCAATGTTTATCCATTGCAATGGAGGTAATTTTTAATTACTAGTACATTCGTAACAAAGACTAAAGTACTAAAAAAATCTAAGCTAATTAATAATGCGAAGGACACCGAAATTAAAAGCAGCCATTATACAGTAGCTCAATAATTATCATTAGTTTAAAGTTTTTAAGAGAAATTAGTTCTTAACAACAGACAATAAAAGCGATAATCGTTTGTGCTTTCAAACAGTCGAGCAATAAAACATAACTGCTCCATGTTACATCGTTGTGCCCAAAAGCAAACGATCACACAGCAGATAACAACTTATCTAAGAAAGGGTGTAAGTGTCAAACGTGTTCATAAGAATATCAATTTTAAATCTTACGAAATAGGAGCGACTTTTCAATGTTCTATACGTGAAATTATGGTCTAAACGAAATTCACCGAGACAACGAGATCTTAGATTAAAGCGTAAACAAGTTTGGTTTCTGTACACGTGTATGGGCCGAGTTCTTTACATAAAGGTAGATGTTTTCGTTCTCCGATGTCCATTTTGTATGATGCTTGGGCCACTTCGATGACATAAAATTGTACCACGACATTGTTTATATACGATCCTTATGGAAGCAGCCCAGATATTGAAATATGAATATTTAAATAAAACACTCTAACGGTTTAAAACGCGATATATTAGTGTGGACACGGTCGCTGCAAAGCATCCGAAACGTCGGGCCGAAATTAAAAATCATTTTCAAATAACTTTAACTAATGTATCGCGTTTTAAACCGTTAAATCAGAAACAATTTTAATTTTTTTTATAGCAAACAAAACTTGAAAGAATTACCTGACACGAATTAATTAATATATTTAATCAACCTGATAATATTCATATAATTACAAAATTTTAGGTTATACACGTCAAACCGCCATTTTGACGTTACGTCAGGCATATGTCAAAACTTGGTATCCGCGGGAAACTTGAATTTCCTTACATACATTAAATATAGATAGAACAATTATTATATTTATAATTCCAACAAAAACACTTCTAACTTCGCCATTCAAGGTTATTGCATATTAGACATTGTAATTGTGATATATAATTGCTCGTATAACAGAAATACTAAGTCATTCGGTGAATATCTGTTCATTTCAAGGTGTTGTAAAGGTCAGGATTTGCTGAAAAAATAGTGCAGTTTTTCATGCGGTAGTAATTAACGACCGAATGCGAGTTTCACTGTTTTTTGTAAAGGGCTGGATACACATCTCCTTGGTGTTGTAAATGTCAGGTATTCATAAGATTGTGAAGATATTCGTTACGTAATGCGTTATGGTGATAATCTGTCAGGTTGAACATTCGGGTTTTCATATTTCTTATAAATATCTCTACAGAATGCAAAATTCGATTTAACATTTTATCCAATACAACTAGATACATGAAATGCTAGAGGCAGAGTGGCCTAATATAACAAAAAACATGATTTTGAATAAGGAAGAAAATAAAAATAAGCAATTAACTTAGGCGAAAATGAATTTGTACTATGATTTATGTAAGAATTATATTTTTTTAACAACTAGCTGAAACCAGCGACTTCGTCCGCTAAGGATATTTATTTTGGGCGTCCAAATTCGTTTTGGCAAACTGCTTCTTTATAAACTTAAGCTGTTACCCATGACGTCGGTCGCGTCCCTTCCCGGCGGTCTTGCAAAGTAATTTTTTAAGGATAGACATATAGCGTCATTTAAAGCAGAATCATTCTCTAATACATATTTTTTGGGTATTTCTTCTTCCGTTTTTACAGCGTACGCCTCGGAAGCCCAC